TGGGTTTTTGAAGACTTCCCCAAATTTCAAAAATATCACAAGGAATCTAAATTTTGAGTTAGAAAATCCCTAGTTCTAGTTATTCTTAAATTTTGGAAACTTTGAGATAAGTATTTTGTTTGCCATGCTTTTTTATACCTACGGTCAAGTTTTTGAGTCCCTAAGTTGAAACTCTGATTTTTTGCGATTTTTCTCCGTGAACAACTTTTTCGACCAAGAATCGAAGAACATGACCTCGGTTTCACCTCAACAGCTCGTGACTTGAGATGACCTGGGACATAATTTTTCAGGAGTTGTGTAAAATTGATGTCCGGAGAGGTACAAAAAGTTTCAAGTCGAAATTCGCAGCCGTTTCTGAGCTATCTGCGAAAAACCACAGGGGGGGGGGGGCTTTTGCCCCCTCCCAAACGGGTCGCGGGTTAATAAAAGTAAAAAGTAAGGGAATATAAGAAGCGCTTTTTGTATAATATCCCAAAAACATAAAAAATGTATATGTAACGGAAAATATGTTATGAACCCTAACGGCCTAACGTCTTACATCGAAATACCAACTTTGAGTTGGATACCTCTTTTTTTTTTGCTAAGTTATGGCAAATAAAAAACTGTTCAAAGTTTGATTGTCAAATTTTCACTCAACTTTTAGCCATTCTAGACCACGTAGCACAAAACAAAACCATCATTACATTCCCCGTGACGAGCTTGCGCATTGCGCAGCCCTGGCTGACAACTACTAAGAAATACAAGCCGTTTTCACGACGGCCATTTGCTACACATTTGGTGCACATTTGGTGCAGATTAGGTGCAGATTTGGTCAAATTAGGTTTAGTGTGTCTCTTAGTAGCTATCAGCTAGGGTTGCACTAATTGCTTATATACCTGCTTCGTCATAATATCAGAAAATACCATCGATTAAAACACTGAAATAAATTCAAAAATGAAGATATTTGCTGTAAAAAAGATTAGGTGCAGATTTGGTCAAATTAGGTGCATTCGCCGGATAGCCCGTCGTGAAAACGGCTACAGTTAACCTACCTTGACCAAATCTGCACCTAATCTGCACTAGATGTGACCAAATATGTACCAGAGAGCCGTTGTGAAAACGGCTATTGTGAATGTCAGTGACATGACCTACCTGATATCAGAGACCTCAAATAGCAAAATAGCAAAATATGTGTTAGACAAACAAGTCTCTATCGATGATTTTCAATAACATGCATTCTACTTATTTTTGCAACACATTACTTAGAATGCCTGTAAGCGGTTGAAAATGTGACCCTTATCCCGACCTGTGACGTCATAGGTTGGACTGAAGTCATTCAAATCGGGTCACGAGGTATTCCCGTGATGGTGATATCGAACGCCGCCTGAACTTTGAAAATCGGTCGGTAACTTTCTGAGATCTTGGTTGGAGGCTGAAAGCCCCTCCCCCCTCCCCCGGCCCCCTTCCCCCGACAGACCTACTGGGCGGGGGTAAAGTCGTCAAAGTGTGCTTTTATCTTTTTCTTTTGCAAAATATGTATACGTATAGTCAGTTGCATCACAGTCATGTATTATTTCGACAAAAATGTCACGTCTTAATTCGTTTAGTGCTTGCTGAATGCATGGCGCCGCCAAATTTGGCACAGCCTATGGGGCAATCTTTTTACATATGACCTGAAAATTTCAGGTCCGGGTGACCTTGGGTCAGGTCACCAGGTCAGAAAAATCGGTACAAGGTCATGGTCAAATTTCAATGCCTATGGGAAAATACTAAATTCGGAAAATACTGGAGATATCCGCTTCGTTCTATCACTTTTGTGCTTGAAACCACAGTACTTAACAGCAGGTCACATGGTGCCTCTTTTTGTGTAGGGGAGAGTGGGGCAAAGCGGCCACCCTAACGCTTCTCACGATGCCAACGCTTGATTTGTAAACTTGGAAAGATTCTTTCTATACCAATGTGATCCCTATTAAGTTGCCTTTTATTTCAACTGCGTTTTATTTCCAAAGGCGTTCACATATGAAAGATATTGACAAAACTTTAAACCTATGCATATTGCATATTGGCCACTTTGCCCCATACCCTGGGGCAAAGCGGCCACCGGCGTCTTCTCAAGTCCCGACATGAGAAACAAAATAGTTGCCTCGTGTACGACTAGGGTATTTGATGGTGACAAGGTTAAGCGAGGATGGATGTTTACTTTATCATTAAAAACATTTAATTGCATTATTTGGTAACTCATGCAACTGAAAAGTGGCCAAGATGAATGCATGACGACACATTTAAATATAAATAATGTTTTTTATCCAGATGGAAGCAGCTTATGGCCAATTGGGGGTGGCCACTTTGCCCCGCGCATACCGTCCGAGACAAAAATATTCCAGCTTAGCTATTAATGGGGTAAAAAACATTAAAATTGGTAGAATACATGTACGATAACCATGCAATGCATGGACAAGAACGCTTATAAAAATTCCAAACGGTTATGGAATAACATAACATTCAAAAATTGTAAACATAGTTGCTAAGCTGGCAAGAAATGCTTTTCCGTGTTTAACAGAACAATGGTGATGGCCCTGAAACCCCGGTCTGGCTCATTCGAACGACCGTTATAATTGGAAACCATAAATTGGAACTGACGCCAGCTATGAAGAGCTAAAACGATGGGTGGCCGCTTTGCCCCGGGTGGCCGCTTTGCCCCACTCTCCCCTACTTATCCATTGGTCAGGTCAAATGAGGTCAACTGAGGTCAAATGACGTTTTTGCCAATAACTTGGCGCATAATAACGCTAGAGCTTAAAAATGTTGTCATTGTGTTCCTGGTGATCAGCCGAATCGAAAGATATGCGATATAATGCAATTTGGTTAACACCAGTAAAACGCCTTTTGGGCGACCAACGGAGCGAGCGAGAGGATGGGCCTTGTACGTGCGAAATTGCGAGGGGGTACCTCCAACTAACTTGTGCACTGCACCCTACTAACCGGTCTTTAGCGATGTGCCAAATTTCAGCGCAATCGGCCTAGCGGTTCTCGAGATCTGGAAGCGGCACACTGCACGTGCGCACGTGCAAGCGGGGTCCAAACTGACTTTTGCACGGCACCCTACTAACTGGTCCCCAATCGTGTACCAAATTTGAGCGCAATCGGCCCAGCCGTTCTTGAGATCTGGGAGCGCCCCCTGCACGTGCGCACGTGCTGTAGCACCCCAACCTTAACACATGCAGATGAATTATCTGATGGAGACCTAACTGTGTACCGAGTTCAATCGGCCCAACCGTTGTGCCGTTATTGAGGTTGCAATTTTGGGGGTTCTTAAAAAATGTCCAAATTTACCACGCGCCACGTGCGGTGGTTGGCAAGAACGCATGGTGGCCATCACACCACAGAACTTTTACGTCCAAGTGACATTCAGTAAAGAAGACCGCTTGTCAATCGGATGTCCCGTTCCTAAGATATTAGCTTTTGAAGAGCGTCCCCACGGCCGGCCGGCCGGCCGGCCGCTCATACTAAGGATTTTCCCTTAACCCTCGCCCGCACATGCCATTTTCCCATCCTAGAACGCACATGGGGGGGGGGGTTGCCACCCCCCCCCCCCCGCGCCATTTCGTTCCTGTTGGAGATAGAGCTTAGCAGTAAAGACCAAAAAGATTCTTTGGGAACAGACGAATCCAATGATACCCAGTTTTACCTTCTCAGGTCAGTCATTGACCTTCCAGGTCAGGTCAAACTAAAAAATGTTGCTGTTTTGGGTCACCGTTGGATATCAAGTGCGCTGCTTGTCAAATACCGATGACGATGCTGTCTTCTGGTGCCAAGCCAGCTAGAACCTCTTTGTCACACTATCCGACCAGAATTTTGCTGCTGAGGTCATTTCAGGTCAAGTTAGGTCAAGGTCAATTATATGTGTTTGTATGTCTGTGTGTGTCTGTGTGTATACTGATGTGTGCACCGATTGTTTTTGGGTCCATATCACATGAAATCATGATCTGAGAAGCTTTTACCAAAAATGCAGTCAAAAAACTTCACAAAAAGTAAATTCAGCTTGCCTAAAACGCAATTATCTTAGATGACCTAGGTTGACCTTGACCCTGACCTTGACCCCTGTACATCGTCGAACAACATGTTCGATGATAGGTGGAAGGTAAGACTGGCAAAAAAGGCCGAAATCAGGGTGTCAAAAGCTCACAAGACCCATGGCAAACGCAAGATGTTGAGAATTGGCCATTTGGGTCATGACATGACCTGAAAAACAAGGTCATATCTCCGAAACCAAAAATCACAGAAACTTGAAATTTTCAGTGGACATCAAGAAAGGATAGACGAGCAGCTATACGAAAAATCAGCCTTCTAGCTCTAAAAATGTTGAGTGCAGAGAATAGAAAGACTGCCTGGGGGGGTGGCAACCACCCCCCCCCCCCCATGTGCGGGCGAGGGTTAATTCAGTATGAGACTCCGCTCGCTTCGGTCGCTCCGTAATGAACTTAATTATATAATTAAAGTTTACTTAGTAATTAAGAAAAACTTTAAGTACACTTAAGCAAACTAACAAGTACCTATATCATTCGACGCGCCTTGACGTGTTGAGTTCATTGGTGCTTTTCTTTTGGCTCTATCTTAGTTAGATCAAAAGTTATAAGCGAAAAACTTTTGACCTGTTTTTAGCGAGATTTTTACATTTATATCCCCCAAACCCCCCTAAATATTGACCTAGAGCAACTAAATTTGCACAGGGGCGTGGACTCAAGGGAGCCCACCTACCTACCAAATTTGGTGTTTCTAGGTGCCATAGGAGCCAATCGCGAGGGGGGGTCGCATCGACCCCGCCCCCCCCCCCCCACCCCTGCCAGGCCGTGTTATGAAAAATGCCCTTCCAGGGCGAGTGCTAAATCGTTTAATTGTTTTTGAATGACCTTACAAATCAGAAGTTATTTCAAGGTCAGAAGTTATTCAAAAACAATTAGAAATATGTCACGTGATTGAAGCGGGCTTGTCCCGAAATTCATTATTTATGATCATTTCAGATTATCTCGCATCCCGACTTTAACCCAACGACGAAGGAGAACGACATTGCGCTTCTCAAGATGGAACGAGTCCTGTCTCTGCCAGTGGCGGTGAACTTCATCGCCCCCATCTGCCTTCCGCACAGATCCAAATACACAGATGAAAAAGCCACTGTCGTTGGCTATGGATTCATCAATGTAAGTATGGACAATTTGAAAATTATGTGTCATAGCTTGAATCTGATGAAAAATGTACTTTCATCGAGCTTCTGATAGAGATTATGATTATGAGAAAATTTATTCCATAGTTCTTTTAACCCTCGCCCGCGCATGCCATTTTCCCATCCTAGAACGCACATGGGGGGGGGGGGGGGGTTGCCACCCCCAGCGCCATCTTGCTCCTGTTGGAGATAGAGCTTCGCGGTAAAGACCAAAAAGGTTTTTTGGGAAGAGACAAATCCAATGATACCCAGTTTTACCTTCTCAGGTCAGTCATTGACCTTCCAGGTCAGGTCAAACTAAAAAATGTTGCTGTTTTGGGTCACCGTTGGATATCAAGTGCGCTGCTTAGCATATACCGATGACGATGCCGTTTTCTGGTGCCAAGCCAGCTAGAACCTCTTTGTCACACTACCCCACCAGGTTTTTGCTGCTGGGGTCATTTCAGGTCAAGTTAGGTCAAGGTCAATGATATGTGTTTGTATGTCTGTGTGTGTCTGTGTGTATGCTAATGTGTGCACCGATTATTTATGTGTCCATATTACATGAAATCATGATCTGAGAAGGTCTTACCAAAAATGCAGTCAAAAAACTTCACGAAAAGTAAATTCAGCTTGCCTAAAACGCAATTATTTTAGATGACCTAGGTTGACCTTGACCCTGACCTTGACATCTGTACATCGTCGCACAACATGTTCCATGATAGGTGGGAGGTAATTGACTGGCAAAAAAAGCCGAAATCAAGGTGTCAAAAGCTCACAAGGCCCATAGCCAACGCAAGATGATGAGAGTTGGTCATTTGGGTCATGACATGACCTGAAAAACAAGGTCATATCTCCGAAACCAAAAACCACAGAAACATGAAATTTTCAGTGGACATCAAGAAAGGATAGAGGAGCAGTTATACAGTTATACGAAAAATCAGCCTTCTAGCTCTAAAAATGTTGAGTGCAGAGCAGAAAGACTACCTGGGGGTGGCAACCACCCCCCCCCCCCATGTGCGGGCGAGGGTTAACCCGCGCGGGGCTGGGGTCTCCAGCCGAACGCGCGGGGCTGGGGGGGGGTAAATTTTACCCCCCCCCCCTGTTATCTCCCGAACTAATGGTCCGATTTGGAAAATTCAAACGCCAATCGAAAGCTCTCATCACGAACTACTAAAAACATGTACTTAATTTAAAGTTTGAGGTCAAGGTCAAGGTCAGGTCAAGGGTACAAATTGCAAGTTTCTACAGTATCGGCCTTGCACCGTAGTTGGCGAAGAATGGAGTCATGGACTGAGACTGATCGCCCAAAACGTGTTCTTAGGCTACCAAGACAATATTAGTTGCATACAATATCATTCAGAGGTCAAGGTCAAGGTCAGGTCAGGTCAGGTCAGGTCACCAAAAAACAAAATATAGAAAAGGGCATGTGCGACACATGTTTTATGGGTCATTTTACTCATAGAATTCAATAGGCACACTCAATAAGTGATATGGACCACCTCTGGATGAATTTCAGGTCGAGGTCAGGTCAAGGTCAGGTCAAGTGAGGTCAAATTTTGAAGTTGGTTGTTAAGGCCTAAAAAGGTGTCTATCTGATGCAGTTTTTCACGGCGAATCGAATGGTGCTATTTTTGTTTCCGTACGAGGTCTAGAACTTCCAAAAAAGTCATTTTTCAAAAATTTTGTGTGTCGTGACGTCATAAAATTTTGAATAACTCCCACATTTTTGAACCGATTCTTCAAAAATTTGGTATGTAGGTGCACATAGACCACTTCTCTGACATATATTCCGGTTTTTTCGATAGACTCAAAATTTTGGATTTTATAATGATTTTCCCAAAAAAATCAGTTTTTTGAAAAAATTTAGGCCAAAATCCAAAATTTTCAAAAAAAACCGAGATAGCCATTTGATAGACAAAGTAAAATTACGTATAACCTTTTTTGTTACGTCTTGATTCCTTTAAAAATGAAGATGTTAGCGGCGTTTGAACTTTTGCCGTTTTTGAGGCGAAAATGGCGAACATGACGTCACTAAAACGTCAATTTCTCAAAAATTTTCCGACGGATTTCGCTCAAATTTTCAGGGAAGGTGTCAAATTGATGTAAGAAAAGGTACTGAAAGTTTGGCAAAACTGCGCGCCGCCGTTTTTGAGATATCACAAAAATTCGCGAGGGGGGGTAAAATTTACCCCCCCCCCCCAGCCCCGCGCGGGTTAAAGAAAGATGATGTTGAAAAACACGGAACTTCCATGCACTTTTTGCGTTTCGATTATTAACCCTCGCACCGACGGGGGGGGGGTTAAAAAAAACCTCAGGGGGAGGGCGGATATCCGCCCCCCCTACGCGCCGCGAAATTTGGTATGACTATAACCTCATCAATTTTACACATGGTGTGCAAGTTTGAACCTCCTACATTTTAAGGTCAGGTCACCAGGTCACTTTGAATGACCCAACCTCAAGTCACTTTTTTGCAACTTTGTCACCGTGCCAGAGCTACAGTAGATGTCGGAGGCCTTTGAAAGTCGCAGGATATTATTAGGTCATTAGTAGCTACAATTTGTTTATCTCGGAATTTTGATATCGGTGACCTAAGGTCAGGTCAATTTCGCGACCTCCCCATTATAAGTCAATGGGGGAAAAATCAACTCCCTGTTTTTACCACTAAAACGGGTCGGAATGGCCCCATATACCATACATGACTTCATATACGATCAACCTTCACTACCTTGAGGTCTGTTTTGCTGTTGGGCAGCTGTGAGGTCATGTGACGTCATCAAAGGTCACCAAAGGTTTTTGGCCAATAACTCCGTACAGGAACAAGATACAGACGCGTGGATGGTCTCATTGTGTTCAGCTCGTCAAGACGCATCGAATGCTATACATGATGACCTCGAGGTCACGTGACCTGAGGTCAACCTTTGACCTTGACCTTTCGAGGTCAACATATATATCATTCGATGCGGATTGACGAGAGGATCACGATAATGCCCTTAGTTTGTTCCTATCTTGACTAATTCGAAAGTTATTCGAGAAAAACTCTCTCCATATCTAGCGCCGCCATTTTGACTTTTTCGACCCCTGTGACGTCATCTTTGACCTGACCTGAAAATGACCTTAGTAAAAATTGTAGATCTTGGCCGTGCGTATCCGATGCCGTTTACCGCTTGTCGCTATCTTGCTTCGTTCTCGAGATCTCAGGGGGGGGGGCGGTCATCCGCCCCCCCCCCGTCGGTGCGAAGTTGGCGAAGTCGGTGCGCGGGTTAAATCTTCATCAGCATGACATAATCACAGAGAAAACAAGATATAGCACACAAACATTCGAGCTCGTCACAGTGCAATCGTCTTCGGTCTTGATTTTAAAAATTCATGCATATGACATATTCACTACTAATCCACCTGTAGGAGAATATCCACGAAAAATGATAGCAAAATAGATCACTGACATATGACACATGGATAACAACAAATTTAATTATACAGAACGATCATGAACAAGTACACTTATACAAACTAATGACGCGTTTTCTTCAAACTATACATCGTCGCTGGTTTTGCCCATTTCATCGAAGTTCGAACCCACCCTAATATTTATCGTTTCGTTCATTGCTATAAATGCCGCCTCTGTCGCCCTCCGATTGTCTTTGTTTTTACATAATGTTAAAATTTCCGCCCCGCCCCATCTTGGTAAATGATGTGTTTTCTGAGCATGAATTACTACCGCTCTATGTTCTGCGTTGTTTGCATGTCCCGCTTATGTTCCTTTAATCTAACGTCTAAGCCCTCCCGGTTTCCCCTATGTATGATTTGTCACAAGAACCACAAGGAATCTTAAACACTAAACTTTTCTCTTCTCCATTTCTTTTTGTGTGGTTTTTCAGTATATCCCCTACCTTTGTTCCCGAAGAGAAAGCTATTTTAACACGCGCACTGCAGCGGGTCTGGGCCGAACACGAACTGCAGGGGGGGGGGCTGAAAACACCCCCCCCCCCTGAGATCTCAAAAACGGCGCAGCGTAGCGACAAGCGGTAAACGGCGTTGGATAGGTTGAAATGAGATCTACAAGAAATACTAAGATCATTTTCGGGTCAGGTCAAAAACGAGGTCAGCAGAGGTCACCAAACTTAAAATGTTGCGATTTTTAGCGATCTCGACATCCCTCCATATTTCCGCCTTATCTCGGGGACTAGATGAGCTAGAAAGTTGCGAAAAAAACATCCGATAGCTGTTGAAACGCTCTTTTGCAAAGCTGTCCTCAGATTTGACATAAGGTCAACCGTTCAGCCTATAGAGGTCATGTAATGTCAGATCAATATTGCAAATTTTCCGGAAATGCTTTTTCTGCAATAACTTTTCTTCCCAAAGAGATAGAGAAATAATGCACACACCATCGTTCTTAGCTCGTCAAGGCGCATCGAATGGTATATAATATGACCTCGAAAGGTCAAGTTCAAAAGTTGACCTCAGGACAAGGTCATGACCTGACCGAAATAGGTCATGTTGCATATCATTCGATCCGCATTGACGAGACAAACACGATTAACGTCGAACGGAGTCTCTATCTCTATTCAATGAAAAGTTATTGAAGAAAAACCGTTGGTGACCTCAGGTGACTTGAGATCGAGGTCATGTTAGGTCAAACATTGACCAAACTAGGTCAAGTTGCATCTTGATCGACGCGTCTTGATAAAATAAGCGGGATGGTGAAAGAATGACGTTTCTATGTCCCATACTTCTCGAGTTATGTCCGAAATTGCATGCCGGGCCCCAAAAAGTGACCTGACCTAAGGTCACAGAAATAAAATTTCGAAATAATCAAAATGTTCCTTATGGTCTCCTAATATGTTTCTGAAAGTTTCATAGCATTCAATCAAATGGTGTGGATGTAGCACAGCGTCAAACTTTTTATGAGGTGAGGTCACTTATCGTGACCTGGTGACCTGACCTTGCATGACCTAACACTATTTTTTCAGAGGTGATGTAAAATTGTTTGATGAA